ACAACCACTATTGTACGTTCAAAGAGTTAAATCCATTTACACGCCGGCTGGCGGTAATATTTTTTGGGTGATTAGTGTATTCCAGTGACCTAAACGTACAGTTGCCAGCCAACGGCAAGCTGCAATTGACCGATTGTGTGCTAAATAAACTGACTTTCTGCTTCACAACCACTATTGTACGTTCAAAGAGTTAAATCCATATACACGCCGGTGGCGGTAATATTTTTTGGGTGATTAGTGCATTCCAGTGACATAAACGTACAGTTTTCCAGCCAACGGCAAGCTGCAATTGACCGATTGTGCTAAATAAACTGACTTTCTGCTTCACAACCACTATTGTACATTCAAAGAGTTAGATCCATTTACACGCCGGGTGGTGGTGTAATATTTTTTGGGTGATTAGTGCATTCCAGTGACATAAACGTACAGTTTCCAGCCAACGGCAAGCTGCAATTGACCGATTGTGCTAAATAAACTGACTTTCTGCTTCACAACCACTATTGTACGTTCAAAGAGTTAGATCCATTTACACGCCGGGTGGTGGTAATATTTTTTGGGTGATTAGTGCATTCCAGTGACATAAACGTACAGTTTCCAGCCAACGGCAAGCTGCAATTGACCGATTGTGCTAAATAAACTGACTTTCTTCTGCTTCAACACCACTATTGTACGTTCAAAGAGTTAAATCCATTTACACGTCAGCTGGCGGTAATATTTTTTGGGTGATTAGTGCATTCCAGTGACACAAACGTACAGTTTCCAGCCAACGGCAAGCTGCAATTGACCGATTGTGCTAAATAAACTGACTTTCTGCTTCACAACCACTATTGTACGTTCAAAGAGTTAAATCCATTTACACGCCGGCTGGCGGTAATATTTTTTGGTGATTAGTGCATTCCAGTGACCTAAACGTACAGTTTCCAGCCAACGGCAAGCTGCAAATTGACCGATTGTGCTAAATAAACTGACTTTCTGCTTCACAACCACTATTGTACGTTCAAAGAGTTAAATCCATATACACGCCAGGTGGCGGTAATATTTTTTGGGTGATTAGTGCATTCCAGTGACATAAACGTACAGTTTCCAGCCAACGGCAAGCTGCAATTGACCGATTGTGTACAATAAAAACTGACTTTCTGCTTCACAACCACTATTGTACGTTCAAAGAGTTAAATCCGTTTTTATTTTTGGGGTGCTTATTGAATTAAAGAGTATGTCAGACAACACGCAGAGGAGTGGCAGAGGAGGCAATGTTTCAGGAGCGAGCAGACGTGGCAGCAGAGGAAGGGGTCGAGGCAGCACTAGTCGCAGGCAGAGGCCAGTGCTCCCGGTGTCATCCAGCGGTCGTGTCTCCACCGACAACCCTGCCGTCATCGATTGGTTGACTCGGTCGTCTTCCTCTTCCCAGGTCACCTCTGACACCTACAGCCAACGGTCGGTGTGGTACGTCAGACACAACCGTTAGTTGGCATGGCCCGGGAGCAAGCCCACTGAAATCACGTGTCCTCGACCTGCCCCTGTCCTTTGGTGTTCCCTCACCAAGCGAAGTATCGCATGCTGTGGGCTCAGCCCCACTGTACAGTGAGGAAGAGCTAACAGAGGGCGGTCAGGAACGGGGGGAGACAATCGCCTGTCTAACCCACACCGCGTCATTCAGCAGCCAGGCGAAGAAGTACTGGCGAGGAGAGTGGCTCGGTAGCCGGTCTAGAGACAGGTCTGTCTTCTGACCCACACGCAGCCGAGGGGGCTAGTAGTGACGCGGAGTCCCTAATTTGATGATGATGAGGCTGATCGCACTTGGCAGCCTCGTCGTCATCAGGCTATTGCTTCCGCATCATCAGGAGAAGAGGGTGCCAGCTTGCCAGCGAGCAAAACAGTCGGTGGGTTTTGCCCAGGAGGCAGCAGGGTCGCAGCAGTGTCAGTGGAGCCAAACGGCCACGGAGTAGAGCACCAGCTCCACTGCAGCCTACCACCACGGCCAGTAGTGGTGCCGGTGTGCACGGAGGAAGTAGCAGTCAGCCAGTGAGGAGTAGCGGGGGGCAAAGTTTCCTACTCGGCGGTGTGGAAATTTTTCGTCAAGCCGCCCGAAGTAAGTAAACGTAGCCATATGTCGACTATGTGGCCAGAAAGTCAAGCGTGGCCAGGGGGCCAATGTTGGGACTACAGCGTTGCGTCAGCATATGCAGCGTCGCCATTCGGTGGCCTGGGAAAACCGTGATAAAGATACGGCGGTTCTGCCTGCCCCAGCCCCCTGCTCCATCACCCGCTCCGTTACTTGCTCCGTCACCCGACGTCAATCGCCCTCTATCAGCCAGTCAAGGCTCCAACACCTCTGCTGAGGGGAGTTGTCGCTCGTTGGCATCTTCCGCTCGTTCAGATGCTCCTTCTCCTGCTACTCCTCTTCACGGATTCCGTCAGCAGTCTTTCTTGGAATCCGTTTCCAAGAGACAACAGTTTGCGAGCACGCACCCGACGGTGCAGAAGCTGAACGTCCTCCTGTCCAAGTTGCTGGTGTTGCAGTCCCTCCCTTTCCAAGTGGTGGACTCAGCACCTTTCCGAGAAATGATGGCTTGTGCCGAGCCGCGGTGGAGAGTGCCAAGCCGCATTTCTTCGCCAAAAAGGCAGTGCCAGCCCTGCATTCACATGTAGAAGAGATGGTGGGCCAGTCTTTGAGCATGTCGGTCCCTGCCAAAGTGCACGGCAGCGCCGACGTGTGGAGCTGTAACTACGGTCAGGGACAGTACATGTCATTTACGGCCCACTGGGTGAACGTGGTGCCGGCACAGCCGCACCAGCAACTTGGACAGGTCACGCCGCTTTTGCCTCCACGTTTGCACGTCCTTGGTCCAGCAAAGATGTCCGCCTCTACCACTCTTCTTCCGCCGTGTCCTCAGCCGCCACCCCCGTGCCAAGTCCCATTACCCGACCGGCATATCACATGTGCAGGGCGCAACGGTGTCATGCTGTGCTGCACCTGGTATGCCTTGGCAAACGTAGTCACACAGGGGAGGAACTTCTGAGTGTAATGAACAGAGAAATCGACAGATGGCTGTCTCCGCGCAAACTGAAAATCGGAACCATGTTGACCGACAACGGAAAGAACATGGTGTCTGCTCTGCGTCAAGGAAGGTTGTGCCATGCGCCATGCATGGCTCACGTGTTCAATCTGGTTGTCAAGCGGTTCCTAAAATCCACCATCCCACTGCAAGACATCCTTAAAATGTCACGTAAACTTTGCATGCATTTCAGCCATTCCTACACCGCAAAGCACACCCTCCTTGAGCTGCAGCGGCAGAACGGAATTCCACAGCATCGCCTGATCTGTGACGTTGCAACAAGGTGGAATTCAACCCTACATATGTTAGACCGCCTTTACGAACAGCGAAAGGCCATCACCGATTTCCTGATGTTACAAGCGGATAAAGGTACTCCCCTGTGTAACTTAGATGTCAGCCATTGGCAGCTCATGCGTGACACCTGCCGCTTGCTCAGGCCCTTTGAGGAAGCCACGCTATTCGTGAGTTGGCAGGACTATGGGATGAACGACGTCATTCCTCTGTTGCACGTCCTGGAACAAATGCTGTTAACAATGGCTGGTCAGGGTGCGGTAGACGTGGCGCACAGATCTCAACGCCACATGACCCCTGTGGGGGCAGGACAGGAAGAAGAGGAGGAGGTAGAGGAGGACATTGGTGCTCAGGAATTATTGAGTGAAATGGGTGGTTTTTCCACTCAGCGGACAGGAGTGGAGGAGCAGGAGCATCTGGTAGAGGAGGAGGAGGAGACAGAGGACCCAGACGCACCGTGGCAGTATGCTGTGGAGATGGAGGCAGGGAGTCCCTCGCATTCCTTGGCACAAATGGCCCATAGCATGCTCGGTTGCTTGCGTGCGTAGCGACAGCCGAATAATAACCATCAGACAGAGGGATGACTTTTGGCTGCCCACCTTGTTGGACCCTCGCTACCGTTCAAAAATGGTGGCCTTTTTCACACCTGCTGAGAGGGAGGCCAAAATAAAGTACTATAAAAAACCACTATGTAGTCAGTTGGTCTCTGCCTTTCTGCGCCAACGTCCATCCTCGGACACTGTGGGCCCTGTGCGCTCGCGGGAATTGCTTTGTATATCTGTCGCCTTAGGGGCCGCTGTCTGGCGACATAATTTTTTGTCACTGTGTAGACATCTATTTATAGGCCGATGTTTGGCCACAAAAATATATATTTAGTAATAACCTAGCCGTTCAGGCCGCTCCCTGAACACCTCGGGAATTGCTTTGTATATCTGTCACCTTAGAGGCCGCTGTCTGAACAGCTCATGAATTGCTTTCTATATGTGTCGCCTTTGAGGCCGCTGGCTGGACAGCTGATGAATTGATTTGTATATATGTACTTATTGTCCGCTGTCCGGACAGCTCATGAATTACTTTTTGTATATAGCCTTCCAAACCACTCTCAGAATAAGTCATGATATTCATGCTGTGTATAGCCTATAGGCCTTATCAATGGTCAATCAAGTCATGATTGTTATAGTGTGTATAGCCTTATAGGCCACTGTCTTTACAACTTTATAATTCCATGCAGTATATAGCCCTATCGGCCACTTTCTGGCATCCAGTTGCTGTAGCCCCCATCACCACACTGTGCCACGGGCCCCTGTACCGCCTTCTCATACTGCTGCCAGATCCATCCTCTGCCATGTGCGTCTTTGTCGTCTGCTCACGCTGCTGGGTTCCAGTTTTAAACCTAGGCCTGTGTATGGCTTCCGAATACTGCTGCCTCCACCGCCACCCTGCGCCATGTGCCTCTGTCGTCTGCTCACGCTGCTGACGGCTTCCGCTTTTTAACCTAGGCCTGTGTATGGCTTCCGAATACTGCTGCCTCCACCGCCACCCTGCGCCATGTGCCTCTGTCATCTGCTCACGCTGCTGACGGCTTCCGCTTTTTAAACTAGTCCTGTGTATGTCTTCCGAATACTGCTGCCTCCACCGCCACCACCCTGCGCCATGTGCCACTTTCGGGTCTCCTCACACTGCTGCCAGGTCCATACTGATTCATGGCCCCCTGTACCGGCTCCTCATGAACGTGGTTCAGCGGGTTTGCATCACTTAACGGCAAATCATTGACAAATGCTGGGACGTTCAGTGTTGTGCGCATTACGCCAGACACCAAAGGGCAGCACAGACCTGTTATTACTCGCTCAAGCATGGCTGAACAAAACCAGTCTCTACCACAAATTGGACCCAGACCTGCCCAGGGTCTCGTAACTAGATTGCACGGAGGAGTAGAGTCCGTTATCGGAATTAAATAGACAAAACGCCACACCAAAAAGAGTGGCCATTTCCAACACTTATTCCAGAAAGAGGAACAACCCGTTTCATATACGGCCCGTAGACGTTTCACGTCTGCCACATTCAGTCGATTTAAGACGCAAGCTTCACTTCCTGTGGTCTCTGACCGTTGATATACCTTTAAGTGTCAGCTTTGCAGCTATATTCCCTCGGAGCACTGACACTGGTGCCCTTCCGTCAACATGCCTTTAAGTTTCAGTTTTCAACCATATTCCCCACAGAAGCCAAACTCTTGGGTATCCCAGAAGCTGCTCAGCGGGTCAGGGCAATAAAGCTCCCGGTTCGCAGGTTGTTCCGTCTTATGGATGGAAGTACGACGGTATATGATCTTCTTCGCACCCACGGCATTACCTCATAAAATTTCTGCATTGCATCTGCAATCACACGCTGACTTCCCGGATCGCCACTCAGCCATTGGACTCTTGATAGTCGTCTCCCCACGCTGCTGCTGGGGGGACTTTTTAACATAGGCCTCTGTATGGCCTTTAATTGAAGCTGCTTACGCTCCGCCACTCTGCCATGGGCCTCTTGGGTATCCCAGAAGCTGCTCAGTGGGTCAGGGCAATAAAGCTCCCGGTTCGCAGGTTGTTCCATCTTATGGATGGAAGTACGACGGTATATGATCTTCTTCGCACCCACGGCATCACCTCATAGAATCTCTGCATTGCATCTGCAATCACAACGCTGACTTCCCGGATCGCCACTCAGCCATTGGACTCTTGATAGTCGTCTCCCCACACTGCTGCTGGGGGGACTTTTTAACCTAGGCCTGTGTATGGCCTTCAATTGAAGCTGCTTCCGCTCCGCCACTCTGCCATTGGACTCTTGATAGTCGTCTCCCCACGCTGCTGCTGGGGGGACTTTTTAACCTAGGCCTGTGTATGGCCTTCAATTGAAGCTGCTTCTGCTCCGCCACTCTGCCATTGGACTCTTGATAGTCGTCTCCCCACACTGCTACTGGGGGGACTTTTTAACATAGGCCTCTGTATGGCCTTCAATTTAAGCTGCTTATGCTTCGCCACTCTGCCATGGGCCCCTGTACCGCCTCCTCTTGCTGCTGCCAGGTCCAGAGTGTGTCATGGGTCCCTGTACGGCCTCCCATTGCTGCTGACTTCATCGCCAGACTCTGCCATGTGCCACTTTCAGGTCTCCTTACACTGTTGGTGGGTTCCATTTTGTGATAGGGTGCTGTATGGCCTTCCATTGCTGCTGCCTCCACCGCCACCCTGCGCCATGTGCCTCTGTCGTCTGCTCACGCTGCTGACGGCTTCCGCTTTTTAACCGAGGCCTGTGTTTGGCTTCCGAATACTGCTGCATCCACCGCCACCCTGCGCCATGTGTCTCTGTCGTCTGCTCACGCTGCTGACGGCTTCCGCTTTTTAACCTAGGCCTGTGTATGGCTTCAGAATAATGCTGCCTACACCGCCATCCTGCGCCATGTGCCTCTGTCGTCTGCTCACGCTGCTGCCAGGTCCATACTGATTCATGGCCCCCTGTACCGGCTCCTCATGAACGTGGTTCAGCGGGTTTGCATCACTTAACGGCAAATCGTTGACAAACGCTGGGACGTTCAGTGTTGTGCGCATTAAGCCAGACACCAAAGGCAGCACAGACCTGTTATTACTCGCTCAAGCATGGCTGAACAAAACCAGTCTCTACCACAAATTGGACCCAGACCTGCCCAGGGTCTCGTAAGTAGATTGCACGGAGGAGTAGAGTTCGTTATTGGAATTAACTGTGAGGGACTTTTAAACCTAGGCCTGTGTATGGCCTTCAATTGAAGCTGCTTCTGCTCCGCCATTCTGCCATTGGACTCTTGATAGTCGTCTCCCCACGCTGCTGCTGGGGGGACTTTTTAACATAGGCCTCTGTATGGCCTTCAATTTTAGCTGCTTACGCTCCGCCACTCTGCCATGGGCCCCTGTACCGCCTCCTCATGCTGCTGCCAGGCCCGTAATCTGCCATGGGCCCCCGTACCGACTCCTCATGCTGCTGCCAGGCCCGTAATCTGTCATGGGCCCCTGTACCGCCTCCTCATGCTGCTGCCAGGTCCAGAGTGTGTCATGGGTCCCTGTACGGCCTCCCATTGCTGCTGTCTCCATCGCCACACTCTGCCATGTGCCACTTTCAGGTCTCCTCACACTGCTGGTGGGTTCCATTTTGTCATAGGGTGCTGTATGGCCTCCCATTGCTGCTGCCTCCACCGCCACACTGTGGCTCCACACTCTGGTTTTGGCCCCGTGACTGCCCAAATGAGTGAAGTGTGCGGTGATTCTAAGATCGACGGCACTCATCTGCATGTCATACTGACTGACAGTATTATTTCTCTTCCCCAGCAGACTCCAAGGGCATTTAAATTAAAGGTACAGTGTTCTGCACTAATATAAAGGCTCTCTGAAGCCTAGAAACACCCTTTTTATAAGTTAAATTCGCAGCGAATATATTCGGCTCGAAGCAAATTTATTCCGCGAATTCGGCGAATCAGCCGAACCGAATTTTTGAATAATTCGCTCATCTCTATTAATCACACCTGATATCGTAGAAAATAGTACAGAAACTACTTTCAAAATTTGAAGGGTTCCATTGCCGACAATAGAGTGCGACTTGTCATGCGATTTTGAACTGTCAAATCACATGACAAGTAGCACCGATGTGAGCCAGGGCCTAAACACAAAGAGACCACACCTCAAATCTCTTGTGGTTTTCAAAAAGGTGCCAAAACCAGCTGTGACATTTTCAATTAAATTAGATCAGAAAGTAGCTAAAATACTTGAACACTTGAAGTCTAATATCAATGCTTTTTCACTTTATCATGTTTTCAATTTAAAGACTATCTACTTTTTGGATAAGTTGTATTGGCCCAGTAATTTTATGTGGCAGTGGTTTAAGACAAACAGCCCATATGGACCCTGCTTGCTTTACTCCCTTTAAACTTGCAAGGAGTAATTATTTTACTAGCAGAGAGGCATACATTTATCTCAGTGTAAGACTGTTATGTAGGAATGTACCTAACTATTCAGCTAACAGAAATGCTGGGTGCCATTAACACATATTCTGGGATATACTAAGCAGGTTAAAGCAATGGTCTCAGAATTGACTGGAGTGCATTTAAAGTGTTACTAAACCCACAACAGTAAAATCAGTCTGTATATGCAGTAAAGCATGCTTGTTATACTCACTGTGGAACCTAAGGGGTTAATCCTCCACATTATGTAAAAAGGCGGTTTAATCCTGTCTTCTCTGATCCTCTCCTTCTTTACTGTTCCCAATCCATCTGCTAAAAGTACAGAGCCCATAGAAGACACTCTGCACATGCTCAGTTTGGTGTGTATTGCTAGTTTTTTTGGGGGGAAGGGGTTAATCCTCTGCATTGTGTAAAAAGGCTGTTTGATCCTGACTTCTCTGCCCCTCTGTCCTCTTGTTCAAATGTCCACACTGATAGAACAGACTGAACCCATAGCCCTTCTGCACATGCACAGTTTAGTGTGTAATGCTAGAGAGGTGATTTTATTTTTTGGGAGAGTGCATGTGATCAGCACAGTGCCAATCAGCACTATCCAGACAGAGGGTCAGGGGTTTTACATCCTCCTAGAATAGAAAGAAAAATCCTCCTACAGGCTTTAACATGAGCTCAGCTAAAATCACAAGACTGCTCTAACTGTTGATGAGAAAAGGTATTTAGCAGTTAATATATACTAAAATAATTGCACTTCCATGTCCTATGTACTGTGGGAGACCAGATATAGTGAATGCAGGGTTCTGGGTTTAGTAACACTTTAAAGAGAAAAATCTTTTCATAGCAAATCCAGTCAGACCATGTCCTGATTGCTGTAAAAATCTTTGCATGAGATATTAACATTGGTGGACCCACAGAGGGTGTCATTTGATTTGGTATGTTTAGAACAAAACTCTGAAGAAGATGGGACCTCCCCCTTCGAAACTCGTCAGTTTCATCCTGAGAGTCTCCCCCCCTGATGGGATTCGCACATGTCTCCTAATCCAGGACTCATTTCTGGGATTTTATATGCCTGTTGTATTGCTACTCTTGTGAGTATATTTTCTATATCAATAAATCTACGAATTGCTTACTGAGGTAATGCGCAAGGTTCGTGTGTTCTATTTTTTGTTCTTTACTACAGTTTATATTGAGCTTCCCCAGCTTTGCACTAGAGCTGCACAACCTTTGATCAGTCCTTGAGAAACTTCCATATATCATACTTTATATTGGTCCATTGGTCCTCTACTGATCTGGGTCCCTGAGTGCAGGAGGTGTTGTATCTGTGTTTACTGTTTATAACGGATGCTGGAGAATGTTTTATCTTACAGAAATTAAATAGTTAATGGTTTCCTAACACAAGAATGTGTTTGTAGTATGTATGCGTAGTAGAATGTTCAGTAAGTGTGCATGTGCTCTTAAATCTTGTCTTAGGTTACAACATATGTAATACGTAGTCCAGATAAGAAAGTAATAAGTAAAATATATATTGTGTGTAATAAATAGGCTTTGTCTGTTTTATCTAAAGTCACAGTATGTAACTGAACCCTGTATGGATTGTCTGTGTCACTTACATTGAATGCCAAATATCACATATGTACAGGGGTGGATGGCTCGCCAGAGGGCTAGAGGATCCTTTGGTGAGCCCGGAGTATGGTGCCGATAACCTCTGTTTATATGCAGGTCTATTGCGCTTGTCCCACAACCATGGGTATACAAGCAGCTGGCAACTAGATTATTCAAAAGTCAAATCCTCTCTTCTGACATTTCAAGATAGTCAGTGCATCACATATTCCACCCAAAAAATTAAACCACACCAACCAGATGATTGGATTTTACTAAGCAAAGCAATATACTCACAAAATAGTAATGAACTAAAGATACATTGTATCCCACTGCACAGCACACATGCACAATGACCTCAAACCCGGTGTCCCACCCTACGTATTTCGTCAGAAATGATGTCCCCAGGGGAACCAGGAAGCTTCTGGTCTGGCTATATGGTGAGAAGTGCATGTTGTTTGGGTGTCAGTAAAGGATTAACCCTATTCTGCAATGTATATCGCTGGATTGATGGTTTTGGATGGATTGGTGAATCATAGACACTTCACTTAAAAAAAACCACTTCAAGTCCGGACACTTTCACCTCCTTCCAGTCCTGGCCAATTTTCAGCTTTCAGCGCTGTCACATGGTGAATGACAATTGTGTGTACCCAAATGAAATTTTTAGCATTTCTTTGAGACAGATAAAACTTTCTTTTGGTGGTGTTTATTCACCACTAGGATTTTTATTTTCTTGCTAAATAAATGAAAAAAAAGAAACATTCTGAGAAAAAAAAGTTTTTTTCTTATAAAATTTAGCAAATAAATAATCTTTGTTCATACATTTTGGCCAAAATATTCAGCTATCTTTTTGGTAAAACAAAATAACCCAAATCAGTTTATAAAAAAAACAATTCTAATTTTTCAAAATTCTTTTTAATTTTATTTTTTTTATATTATTATTTATGATTTTTTTTTTTTACATGCTGTCACCCTTACAGTACAGTGTCACCATAATGACACTGTACTACTTGTGGGGGGTGATGATTTTTTTTTTTACACTGATTGCTTTTACACCCATAAAGGCTGTAAAAGCAATCATTTCTCCTTCTCTCTGGCTGCATTTCTGCAGCCATTTAGAAATATTATGACTCTATATAATTATAATTTATAATTTAGAATATAATTTATGAGAGCTGTAATTAGTCACAGCTTGTCTCATGGTACAAGGCTGTTGTGAATGGCCTTGTACCATGTGACCTCTGTGATCATTCACAGAATTCACAAGTAGTAAACAATGATGTCAGGAAGGGACTTCTTGTTTACTACTGTTCATGTGATTACTAATTTGCCAATCACTGATCACAAGAATCGGGACCTCACACAGTGGACTCGTACAGCGATCTGTGTTCTGCTGTGTCTAGTGGACACAGCAGTCACAGATTGTGGTGCTGCACACTTCCAGGGAACGCACAGGCAATGGATGTGGGGGGACGTTTAGAAATGTCCCCCTGCATCGGCAATGTTCCTGTCTGGCCGTTTATCAGCATGGGCCGGACGGGAAGAGGTTAAAGTGTTACTAAACCCAGGACCCTGCATTCACTATATCTGGTCTCCCACAGTACACAGAACATGGAAGTGCAATTATTTTAGTAAATATAAACTGTTAAACACCTTTTCTCATCAGCAGTTAGAGCAGTCTTGT